GAGACGCTAAACTTAAAGTTTTTAACATCGGTATCGTAAGTGCTTGTCGTTACTTAATCAGTAAAAAAGGTGTCTTCCGCGTATCTTCACTCGTTGCCATTTCACCGTTTTCAACCAATCTTTAAACGATTTGAAACAACGACATAAGTCTTAATTTCCCTTGGTATTGTCCAAATAGTCGTAAGTTCATTATATGGCAGAAAAAGGATAATTCACTCAAAGAAACAGAATTTTGTAACTCTAAGTCATTGATAGTTTTAATCATTAGCGATATTTAAGTGTCTTTTTTCTCGTGCTCCTCCATTTAATTTTTTGGCCTCTGAACCAAGTCACGTAGTATTTATCACCGTCTTCCAGATGGTGGAAAAGGCCATATACCAAATTTGTTCCTTTTTACAAGTGCTTGACCATCTTCAAATGCAAGATTTTTGAGATGTCTCACTGCGTTCAGAGTTTTCATTTCTTTTCAAATTATCTAAATAATTAATTGCTTACCCTTGGTGATGTTCTGAAGGATAAAGGATTCATACACATCTTTTTTAACTTGGTAAATTTTAATTTATTCTTAGTCGTATATTCTATTGATACTTCCTCTGGAAGAAAATTATTACCCTTTTCAAAGTGGGGCAAGATTATAGTCTCTGGAAGTCCAGTTGGTTCAGGAACGGTTTAAAAACCTGGTTTTCAGACAACAGAGTAACAACTTGTGGATAAGCGTGAGCATGTTTCACGATGATGATGGAAACAAGTGCATTATGGGAAGAACCTCGCTGATCGAAACTACTGAATCGTAAACGTACTTCGCTTCCTGATTATTTTGGTCTGATAAATTTTCATAACATGTGAAACATTAATCGATCCCATGGAATGCACGTTTGAAGAACAGTTTTACCAAAACTAATTAGCAGGGCATAAGTAAACTTAAAATGCTAGCAAGCCAAAAATCATAGGCTTGTTTCATTTCAAAGTTCCGTTGATAAGGTAACACATCTTTAAAGTTTCCAAAGTATCGTGTTGATAGATCACTGATTTTCGGACTCACTACCGTTTTCAACTTTTAAATTTTTAATTCCAACCATAGGGCTGGATGTGATTGCAGATAAGTATAATCACAATGCACAGGCGAGGTAAACTTATTCCATTTGAGTTAAGCGAAACAGCTTAAGTTTGCATGTTAGTTTGCCTCAGTACCTTGTTAACGAATAGTGTTTATCAGGGTTAAGTTATATTGCTATTTTGTCGTCGTTATCTGAGGTTTATTATCGTCAATCTGAACAACCTAGACCTGCGATGT